CCACTAGGTGCTAAAGCCAGCACTTAAACACAGCTATTTTTGTAAATACTTTTTTTCACTTAAGAATGTATTATATGCTTGTTATGCACACTTTGGAAAATGCCAAAAAGTAGAAGGGAGAAAAAACATCATCAACAATTTCACCACCTAGAGGCAATAAGGTTCACCACCCCGTGCCATTCCTTCAAGTCAAAATACAACTCTCCGCATGGCAATCTGTTTTACTTGGTTGTTTCTAGTCGTTTACATACACACCATAGAACTGCTCTTTTCACTGAACGTGATGGCAGAAGCACTCCGCAGCTCCCGTTCCTTCACTGACATGGCTTTGTGCCTGCAGGATGACAAGTTATTGCTTGGGATTCTGCGTCCGTCCCAGCCATTCTGCGGCTGCCGGGCATTTAAGAAATAAACCTTCAGCTTCAGAACTTGTGCTTTTTCCACTTTAATGGGATGCTTCCCCATCTGATCTCCTATCTCCCATCAAAGTTAGAGAAAAAGCAGAGAGAGAGAGATGTTCCCTCCCCAACTTGGATGTCAGGACAAATGCTCAGCTGCCTTTCATGTGGCTTAGTTTCATCCCTGGAGAGAAGAGCAACATCTAAATGCATTTAATTAAAGAGTCATCTCTTCTGTTGGATCTCTGTACTGGGCTATCAGTGTGTGTCTGTCTTCCTGACTCCTTGAGGGCAGGGGCCATATCTTAGAGTGTTGCCTGTCTCATGCCGAGTGTCAACCAGAGGAGAAAGTCAACACCCAACACTTTCATTGATTGATTTATTCATTGACTACATCTGAGTAGGGAACTGAACGTACATGACAAAGGAAGAATCAGCCAAATGTGACAACTATGATTGAAACTTTTGAAGCTCAGAGAGAGAAGAGTGAATTTAACTCAGTAGTATTGGGGTCCCAGGAAAAACCAGCCTATTAGAGCAAGTTATTAAATTGCTGCATTTCTGAGGCCCTGGAATCCAATTCTGACTAATTCTCAATGGGACTTGGTTTTTTGCATGTCGCTCATCTGGCCAACATCCCAGCTTATGAATGAGGCCTGAAGGCTGCATACGTTGCAGACCACAGATACATATTCATCTGGCTTGAACTTGGCCTTACGTTTGATGCCAGCCAGCAAGATCCCACCTGTGTGTGATTTGGGGGGGTGGGGGGCATGTTGGAGGCAGGGAGGTGAATTTAACTGGTAAATACAAAACTTTCCTTGACAGTCATGTTTCCAGTGGGAAAAGGCTGACTTTCAACCTAGCTGCGTTTATGTCCTAAGTGCTTTATAGCTGCTGTGGTTAGTATCCTTTTACCCTGGGGACCCTAGGGGTGGGAGCAGTGGCTGTGAAGAGGAAGCCAATTGCAGAATCCATTCTCTTGTATTTGCTTCTGCTTCCATGGGCTGTGTTTGGGTCTTGGAGGGCTGGGATCACCAGGGGAGGTCACAGGCTTTAGAAAGAGTCAAAGAGTCACCACCTGCTGTGCAAACTCACACCCTGTTTCCTGCCACCTGCAACCTCCTCGGGTACCTATAAGGCAAAACTAAAGAGGAATATGTAGAAAGTCAGGCAAGGTCACAGATTCCTGAATTTCCCTGATCACCCTGATAATAAAAAGCACTGGAGGGACTTTTCAATCCTCAACTTCCCAAGACCTACCCCTGGAAATTCAGATGTGGTGGATCTGAATTCGAGGTGGGGAGCTGGGATTACAGCCCACTCAGCAGAAATACAAACAAAATGAGAATTTGGGAGGAAAAGGGGAAGAGCCTGCTTCAAGCTGAGGAGGAGAATGCCAGGTGACCACAATACCCCACATTTCTAAAGAGAGCTAGTAGAATGGACTTTGAGGTCAGGGAAACTTAGATTTGAACCCCAGCTTTGTTATGTGACCTTGAAAAGTTACTTAATATCCCAGAACCCCAGTCTGCTCATCTGTAAAACAGGAATATTTTCTACCTAATAAGGTGGAAAGAATTAAAAGAAGTAAACTGCAAAGCATTTAGCACATGCCTGGCCACCTATTCAGCATTCAGGAAAGCGATCAAAAATAAGATGTTATAGGGCCTGCCCGGCGGCGCACTGCTACAGTGTGCCGCTTGGGAGCGCGGTGGCGCTCCCGCCGAGGGTTCGGATCCCACATACAGACTGGTTCCCGCTCACTGGCTGAGCGAGGGGCGGGCACAGCACCGAGGGTTGCGATCCCGTTGCCGGTCCTGGTCCGTTACGGGTGCGACACTGAGGGTTGCGGTCCGTTGCCAGACACAAAAAAAGACAAAAAGGAAAAAAAAAAAAAGATGTTATAAATATCATATTATTGTGTGTAAGGAAAATTGATGCGCTTTTTGTCACCTTGTGTGTGCAGGTGACACAACTTGTTTTTCTAATCATGGTTGCCATCCTTCTCTCTCTCTCTCTCTCAACCTCCCCTTGTGATCAAGGAGACATATTTGTCAAGGGGCTGGCTGGCCACAGGACCCAACGCAACTCATCAGCCACTAGGGATTTGGCAGTCACTCTTCCCATTTATCATGGTTAACAAATGGTTCTAAGAATAATTGTGAATTACCTTGTCATGTCAAAAACTAACAATGTCAAGAGCTAGAATGGCCCTTACATCATATCTAGTTTAGCTGATACATAGAGAACACAAAGAGGAGACCCATGCAAAGTCACGTCAGTGAGTGGTGACCAGGATGGGACTACTACCCAGATCCCCCAACCCCTGGTTGCATCCAAGCCCTTTGCATCAAACCACAGCTGGGTCTCAGGAGCTGGGTGTCCTGACCTCAGCACCCTCTTCTCACTCCACAGTCTACAAAGTTGGTTCACAGCAATCATTGGTAAAATCGACGGTGTGCATAAAAGCCACAGTTTTGAGCAGCCTCATGTCTGATCTAAACCTAGGAAGTAGACAGAATATCTCTTTTATACAAAAGAGGCTGCTCAGCCTCAGAAAAGTTAATGGACTTGTCCAGGTTCACTCAGCTTGTAACTGTAGAAGGCAGGATTTGAACCCAGGTCTAACTCTGAAGCCTCAGTGCTTCCCAACTTAGACCAGGAAACCTGCTTCACCTCTGAATGACCATGACCTGCCCTCCTGTCATTCACACACTCTCTCCTCCCTGGTACCTGCTCCAGCCCCAACGTCACCGCCAGCCTGGAATGAGCACTGGCTGGTAATCAATGTTACACAACAGGAACATTTGTTGATGCCAGTTGCAAACTGTTGCAGTCTATATAGATTAAGCCACTGCCACTGACTCCATGAAAGTAAATGAGCCTTTCCAACGACTACTGAAATAAATTTAAATGACAGCACTGAAGGGCCTGGAGACTGTGGCTGAGTGAGTGTCTTTCTGCAGAAAATCGACAAGGACAGCTACCAGTCCGAGAACCTTTGTCCTAATGATGTCATTCCTCTCTGTCTCAAAATCATCATTGGAGATGTTCTGACTGCTTCAGATTCCTGCTGTGGGACTAGGATTACAATGACAACAGTTTAAAAAAAAAAAGATGACAGCAGCTGGCATTTACTAAGCACTCACTATGGATGAGGCACTGTCTTAAGTGCTTTGCATGCATTACTGAATAATGCAACCCTAGGAAATAGCCCCATTTCATAGCTGAGGGAACTGAGGCTCAGACAGGTGAAGCCATTCACCAGCAATTGGCAGAACTGGGTCTCAAAAAAAGTAAACAAAAATGATTTCAAGCACAATACTGCCAGATAGCTGCCTGGACCAGATCTCCTTCAATATTACTAGATGGTTTTACTTTCAAGACAAAAATAAATCACAAGGGACTAGCAGGGTATAAAAGGGCCTCCGGACCTTGGTCCCTACCTCCCTACCTTGGCTTTACCCCTAATCACCCTCCACCTGTGCATTCTGCCCCTTGCAAGTCCTTGTGTGCACCCACTTCAGCCAGACCCTGGTCTCCATGGGTCTTCACACATCTCTCTGTTTTTAATCTGCTTCATGATTCTGAATCCTCAAATAAATCATTTTGTGTCTCCCACAAAGTCATTTTTATATATAAAAGCTTTACTTTTATTTTTTTAAAAAGTGTGCCCCCTCAATCCCAGACAATATAATCCTGAACCAAGGCATAGCACACAGTTTGGAGAAGAGAGTGAGGCCTGGTTTACATTCCCACCATCCTCTTAGCTAGATGTCCTTGTGCAATGAACGACCTGCCCAACTGAACATGGCAGCCCTGCCCTGCAGATTGGGTTAAGGGCCCATCCTCTTTGTCCTGTTATCACACAGGCTTCTCTCTTTCTAAGCAATTATCACACCAAATAAGATTGTTTGTACTTTTCTGCCCCTGCTTCCCCTCCCCGAGTACATATACACTTGGGTCATGAGACTCTCATGCCCTTGGTTTCTGTAGTCCTAATGCTTAGCGCAGTCCTGGCATGATCAATTCCAAATCTTCAGGAAAAGAAAGGGAGTGGGGGAGTGAGGGAAGAAGAGGGTGAAGGACGGAAGGAAGAAAGAGCACAAGGGGGAACAAAGACAATAAAGGGAGAGAAGGCAAAAAAAAGGAAGGAAACGGGCCGGCCTGGTTGCGCACTGCTACAGTGTGCCACTTGGGAAGCGCGGTTGCGCTCCCGCCGAGGGTTCGGATCCCACATACAGACCAGTTCCCGCTCACTGGCTGAGCGAGGTGCGGGCGCAGCGCCGAGGGTTGCGATCCCGTGGCCGTCCCGGTCCGGTACGGGCACAACACTGAGGGTTGCGGTCCGTTGCCGGACACGAAAAAAGACAAAAAGGAAAAAAAAAAATTAGGTCTAATTGTAGGGTGTGCCTTTTACTCCTAAAGTATGGCCTCTCTCAAGTCTCAGCTGGATGCTGAGTGTTAAATGGTTTGGAGGCCAGCCCGGCATGACTTGGGTGCCACCCGTGGGAGGGCCACTGTCAGAGACTGACGGAAGGTAGGAGTCCTGAACCCCCTTGGCCCCAAGCTAACTGGTGTCTTTTCTCCTCTCCCAAGATGCTCGCTCAGAGGGAGATGCTGGCCCTTCTGGTCCTCACCTGCTGCCCTCTGGAGCACTGGACAGCAGCAGTCTGGCTAAAGACAGCCCTGAAGAGAGAGTGACAACAGCCCCTCTGAATCCCACGCAGCCGGGGGAAGAGCTAGGCGAGCTAGAGTTGGAAGGGACAGCACCCCCCGTGCATCACGACTCCCCAGCCCTGTCACCTCTGCTTCCAGAGGAGGCTGGCACCAAGCACCCCTTCTCCCCCAGGAAGCAGCTGCCTTCTCTCAAGCAGGTGAACTTGGCCAGGAAGCAGCTAAAGCCGACAGCCACCTCCACAGCCACCATCCAGAGGGCAGGGTCCCAGCCAGCATCGGGTCCAGGTCTCTTCTCCTCCTCCACGGAGAAGCCCCATCCACCAGGGGACCCGGACCCTGTCGTCACCTTTGAGCCATCGTCAGAAGTGCCCTTCTGGCTGGATGAGAAGGAAGATGCAGTCCCCACGACGCCGGCACCCCTACAAATCTCCCCCTTCACCTCGCAGCCATATGCGGCCCACACGCTGCCCCAGAAGCCGGACCCCAGGGAGCCCAACATGCCTGTTCAGGCCCAGGAGGCTGCCCCTGAGGATGCCAGCCCCATGAGCCTCGTGGACAAAGGTGAGAACGAGTTGACGGGGTCAGCCTCAGAAGAGAGCCAGGAGACCACCACGTCCACCATTATCACCACCACGGTCATCACCACTGAGCAGGCCCCAGGTATGCAGCCCCCAACTCCACCCACCCTCCTGCAACAGCCATGAGGCACCCACTGTGTGCAGGGCAGGGGGGTGGAGGGGATCCAGGGACACCCAGGCCCCCACAGTTCTCATCTATTGAGCACTAACTATGAGTTTGGCCCTGTGGCTCAGAATTAAGATCTTCACTTCAAAGAGGAGACCACTGAGACCCCGGGACCCCAGCAACCTGCCCAAGGCCACACCACTAATGAGCTGGATTCAAAACATTTCATTTTGAAACAGAATTGCCTAACCTGCTTAGAAGGCAGTAGCCTTTTCAAAGTGCTTTTACTTTGACCATTACATGTATTTCTCTTGACTGATAAAGTGCACTTGTGTGTTCCCATCTTTCTTTTATTTTCTCTCCCGTCTTCAAACACAGGAGAGGGACCCCCACCTGCCAAGCACACATTGGTTTGGGGCAAATGCAATGTGGCCACTCATTAGAGAGTGAGCTCTGGGTTTGAATGGTGCTTGCTGTGTGAGCTTGGCCCAGACACAGCCCTTCTCTGGGCTTTTGTTTACTTGTCTCTAAAATGGGAATAAAACATCAGTCCTCATGAGGATAAATGGGATCACCCTGTAGACAAGTTAGAATGTCATCTGCCAGCATATACTAAGTGGCCATTCCATGTCAACTATTGCTATTTTTGTTATATGTTGACTCTGGAGCTGAAGGAGAATTAACAGCATTGGGAGGGGTGGGGACAGGAACACACAGGTCCCCCTAGAGGCCCAGTTCCACCCCAGTTGTTCCTGGTGTCCTAATTAAAGTGCTTCCCTCCAGCTCTCTGCAGCGTGAGCTTCTCCGATCCTGAGGGGTACATTGACTCCAGCGACTACCCACCG